CTTCAAGTCAATGATGTTAAGAACATGTATGTAAAGGTTCTTATGAAAATGGAACTATAACAGTCATCCTATGAAGCACAAGGTATATTCCTAATATTAATGGAAGTAGAAACAGTATATCTGGGAAAGTATTCCTGGTCTATGATGAAAGACAAGGTCAGTAAATGTGTTCAAGGAAGTGATTGCAAAGTGATTTTACATTTAAATACTTAACCTAATTCCAATAAAATATTTTATGTACATACTGTTAATTACTCATAAGTTGAAGTATATTTACAAGCATCTTTATACTACAGTTGTGCATTCAAAAATATTAGTCCAAATAAAGACGGATATTACTTTATTATTTGTTAAAACACAGAGTATAAATAATACAAAACCAAAAGAAGTGATACATTATATAATCAGATTTGCAATTTAACTGCCATCTACAGATTGCAGACCAAGGATACTCTGAAAGAAATAATACAGTTAAAACCAAGATATAATATGGTTAAAACCAAGTTTTGACGTGAAATAAGAATATTGAATAGGGAACTCATCCAAAAAAAAAAAAAAGGCAAGCAGAAAAAATTGGTACTAATTTTTTTTTGGCACTGAATTAAAAAAGAAATTTAACTGAATGTTTCTGTTTAAGCAGGCATATAGATATAGGAGCTAAAAATTAGAATTGGTAAAAATCTGAGCAGTAGACAGATAAATCTTCTACACATCATCTTTGAAGTTTCAGTAGCCAAATATTTAGGAAGCAGCAGAAATTCAAGTGATAGCAGGACCAGTAGTTAGCATAATGGCTATGTTACTCAACTCCCATGTAGTTGAACGTGGTTTGAGTCCTGGATCCAGTGGCTTAAACTCATACCAGGCATGAGTGCATGCCCAAGATCTCAAGAGAATGGAGGAGAAGGGAGTGCGGTATGGCCATCTCCCCGGGGGGTGATTTCTCACTTACCTCTCTGTCTTTCTGGCTAGCGCACGTACCTTATAACAAAAACCTCACCAAGAAAATAAAATAAAATAAAATAATAAAATAAAGTAAAATAAAGAAATTCAAGTGATAGCTGAAGCTGTTCTAATCAATGAAAGTGGACCTCAGGTCAACTAGTAGGTTTAACAGAATTCAAGATTGGAAAAAAAGTACAAAATATCAACTGGACTGGTGAGAAATGTATTCCTACTGGAACATTTCACTTTACAAACTAAGTGACATATGTGCTTCAATGTATAAAA